TAGCGAAATGATGCCGCAGCTCAAAGCGATGCTATGCACTCGAACTTGATGCGGTCATCCATCAGCGGCAAGTGCTCTTCATGTCGACCATCGTCAGCACACGCTTCCTCCGAGGGACTACAGTCGCCGTCGGGTGCAAACTTGGAACTTGGACAGGTACTAGTACGCTGTTGCTTCGCGAGTCCTGTTCCCGTCGCAGGTTGTGAGCTAAGGCACTCTCGGCGGGCTCTTGGACAAGATGCGCCTCTCATCGTCTTCCAAAGGCCTGCATGGGTTGACGCAGCAACTCGCGGTACATTTTCTTGCTTATCGAGATGCAATTATAAATATAGAGGTATAGAGGACATGCTACGGAGCTCGCGACGACAAGCGAAGAGCGTTTCCGGACTTGTGGGGTGCGCATAAATGTACCAAGGGACCTCGCGCGATGAGCGATGCTGCAACCGCCTAGTACCGGGCGTGCAAGCGTGTACTGATACTATTGCTGCCTTGACCGCGAGCACAACGGCGGTCGCGGCCCATTAGCATGTCCATGGAACAGCCGCCAACATAGAATTATGAGCGACGACTGTTCTGCCTCGTATAGACTCCCTTCAATAACAACGGTTCTGCCTCGTCAGCGTACACGCGTACAAGCCGCACTCCTCTCTCGGTCGACAACTTCCTGTACGTTCAAGTACTCTTAGCTATTGACGTGCAGCACACATCGAGTACGGACGGCTCTGTCGGAGGCGACTTAGATCTTAGCCATAGTGTCCAAGAACTGAATAAGAAATTATCCTCGAAAATGCCCTTCAGCAGCTGCATCAGCAGCTATCATCGCGCACCGTAAACGTGCGTCACGCCGAAGCTCAGCGATTCAGCTGACATTCTTTGAGTCACTACCTCGACGCCCAGCTCTGGATCGTCTCGATGTAAGCAAGCGTGGACACGCATCCCAGCACATCATACACACGACACGAGGGTTTACTACTCGGATTAGATCGACAACACAAAGACACGAAGAGGCATGAAAGGCTCAGTCCTCGCGCTGGGCGAGCGCGGCGCGGCTGTCCAAGCACGCCTTGCGCAGGCGATTCAGGTCGAGCTGCGCCTGCTGCACGAGCGTTTGAAACGCGTCCGACGCGTCAAACTTGGGCACGTACACGGCCGTGCCGATCTTGCGCGGAATCGCGCGGCCCATCAAGCTGCCGGTCGCGAGCTTCTTGGAAATACGCATCGGGCTGCACGAGAGGCGGTCGGCGAGAAACGACCGCAGTGTGATACCTTTCGGGAGGTCGAGGACCCCTTTTAAGAAGCAGTCGATGAGCTTGTGTGCGTACAATTGCTCTTCCCGGAGCCAGTAGCCGGTGCGGTGGCCGAGCGCATTCACGGTGGAGAAGGCCGCCGACGGCGGCCGACCGAGCGGCACCTTGGCGGCGGGATCGATGGTCGTGGTGTCGAGGCCGCGGATGTACAGAATGTCTTTTTCTTTTGCGCACAAAAAAGCATTCTGGAGGTGCGTGAGCTGCTGGCGCGTTGCCTTCTGGACCGACGGCGCGACGCTGTCGGTCGGCAAGTACCGTTTCTGGCCCAGTTTTTTCAGGAGCGGCCGGCCCGCGAGGTGGTCCAAGGCGAGCTTCTTGGAGACGCGCATGGGCACGCACTCGAGCTTGGAGGCGAGGAACGACCGCAGTGGCGTGCCCGCATGGAGCTCGGGCAAGAGGCCCATGAGAAACGCTTCAATCAGCGCCATCGTGTACGCTTCTTCGGCAAACGACCACGCGCCCACGCGCAGCGTCGGCGACGACGGCGCTTCGAGCCTCGCCTTGCGCATGTCGACGACTTGGTCGTAGTCGAGCGCATCGAACTCGTCTTGCGGGCTCAAGAGGCGGGCAATGTCCATCGTACTTTGACGTTTTCAAACTGAGCGTCTGTGCTTTGATGCGCAACTGCATGATCACGAAACAAGAATCGGGACGGGGGCGGATTTGCTATTTAGGTGCGCTTTTGGTGCCACCCGTTCTATACCAACTTTGTTCGGTCGGGATGGCGTTAGTTTCTGCCAACGTCGTCGTGACCCATTCGACGTGGACGCCTATACTAGCCTGCTCGTGGCCATGCGTGCGAGCTATGCGTGGTGGGCTCTTGTCGTTAGAAGCAAAGCGGCCCTTGAAGTCACCCGCCTCCCACCCATCCTCCATCATATTGGCATTACGAGAGGGAGAATCATCATCCTCTCGCGTGGGTGCTCGTGGCGAACCTGGGTTGCGCCGTCCGAGTACACGAACCCGATACTGTCGCTGCACCGAGCACGAACGAACAGCTCAACATAGAAACCGCAGCCTGCCGTATACCCACCTTGAAGGCGCGCTACTTCGCGTGCTCGATCAGGTAGCACGGTTGCTTGCCAGCGAGGCCAAATACAACGCGCTGAGTGTGCCCCTGCCTCTTCCGGCATTACCTGGCCTGGGACGAGGGACAGTGCGGGGGCGCACCATTGAAGGTCGGACAGGGTGCGCTTTTTAAAACGCACCTCCTCGCGTTTGCCGGCGCCACGAAGCAGATGGGTATCCGCACCGGCGTGGATCTATCACGGCTTCTGATTGGTCCAGCACGAACGGTCGAGTGCCTGATTGGCTAAAATGCAAAAGATACCACGCTTGACGTCCCAACTTCAACTCGTCAAGCCTGTCGTCAAGAACCCACGGACTTGACTTACCAGAGGAAGATTCGGTTGACGCGCAAGGCCAACGAGCAATCGGCAACGACCGACAGGCTATACATGGTGCGTCTCGTACTGCGAACGAGGACTCCGGCAACCCTCGAATGAGCTTGAAATCGCTCGCAAATTCAGCAACACAGCGGTTGCACACGTGAACAAGGCGCCATTTCTGTCGCGTAATCGGGCGTGGGCGCCGCTTCTCTATGAACAACCACTTGAAGCCAAGGATGCGCTGCGTGACGACAGACAACACGGCGCCTTTCTGTAAATATTTGAACCTGTTGCCTTGTCCTCTACAAAAACGTCGTATTCGGTGGGTGAAGTCACGACAAGAGAGAAGAGAGAAGACGGTACTGGCAACGTTACCACGCCGACAGTGACGCCCGTGTGCCACGCCAAAGCGCCACATTCGCGCGTTGTCCCCTCGGTGCCGCAAGTCCCAAAGAAGCTATACAACGCCCAATGCGGCTGCACCCAACCTTGCGGTTTAGAAATAAGATGCTGCTGACTACAGTCGCCGCAAATAGGGTGGGTTTCACTGCCGACGTCTCGAGGCTGATGGCACCGAAGTGTGTCTTACAATCCCACACAGCAAAGCGCATCGTACCATGCGAGCCGGCCACATGCAGCACCCGTACCGGAACAGAGACGATCCGCTAGATGCGGGTAGAAGGGTAGTTCTTGCAGTGTCAGAGGAGACTGGATCTGATGACTCATCCCAAAGCTCGATTACTCCCGCGCTTCGGGCGACGACAAGAAGAAGCGCGAGTAGAGAGCGGAAGAAAAGCGAAGAACGTCTTCGCATGTGGTGTTGCTTGCATCGTCATCGTTGTTGAAGGAACCATGTCGACTGTTACCGCACCATGCGCGCTAGGTCGGACAATAACCGGTTTTGCCTGAGTCGGTTTGTGCAACCGTGCGCCAACCGGTTTCGCCGGCTGCTGTTTTCCGACGACTGCACCCAGCGGTATCCGGATATGTGATGAGGCCTGGAGGTTGCCGTGAAGGGTCAAGGGCCAGGGTCCTCGACACTCGACAACGTGCATCGCTGCGACGTAGACTTGGCACATGGGCTCAATCAATTCTGAAACAATGTGGACAACGAAGCGCAAGCAGTGGGGCCGCTACCCAGTGCCAGATCTCGCTGTGCTTTCGTGGCCAGGGAACTTGCTGCGAGGACATCTATTTTGACCAATCACACGTCGCTAGGAAGTATTCCGCCAATGAAATGTCGAGATCAAGTTGCCTTTTTCGCTCGTGCCAGGACCCGTCCGAAGACAGGCTTATCTCGCACGCGGCGCTCGAAGAGGAGAACGCGGCGCGCGTCACGGCCGAGATCGACCCGCTCCAGGTCGACCGCGTAGCATGCAGCTGGGTACTGTGGCGCTCCGCTCTATCAGTCAGCGATAACAACCGCGCGCTCGGCAATGCTTGCGCTCCCGAACCTCTTGCGATGCGAGCGGGGGGTTCTGTCGAGCTGTCCGGTGGGCGAGGAGCACCGCTAGCTCTGCTTTGGCGAAGCTCGCGCACACGCCATGCAGGCGTCTATGCGCTAAACCATTACGTCGCGTCGTCGCGGACGCACCACGTTTTGTGTCTCGATGGCCGGCCAAGTCGCTGTTGACGGTCTCTGCCATTGTCGCGCTGCCCGACGACCCTGTCTTTTTGACCGCACCAAGCTCACGCAAGAGAATATGTCGTGAACGATTCAGCCGCTGACGTCAAGCCAGTCACGTTTCATTCCTCGCCATCTCGTAGTCTTTTCAGATTTCCACGTGATGGCAACGCAGTGCAGGACCTCTCTGCGTGCGTCGTTTCGGACACGTACGAGCTCCTTTGCGCCCATGTTTGGAGCACAAAGGGCCCTGCATCGGCGATAAGCCTGCGAGCAAAGCTCGCAAACATGTACGCTACCAAGCGACTGCGGTCGTCTGCACGAAGACTGGACACACATTTTGTTGGTGCTCCTGGCAATAGCTCGTGCGTTGGCGTTTAAGGAGGGAGCCATTTGTGTTTAGGACGATTTTGGTCAAGTCATTCGCGGTTTCCGGCCGACGCATTTACGCTATTTTCCGCCTCTTGCAACCATGATGATCGTCCTTGTCTGACACCTCGCAACGACTCTATGCAGGCGCCGCAAGGTGCACAGCACGTTTACGCACTCGAAGCGACTTTGGTGTTCAAAGCACAGCGTAGCAATACGAGCGCTCTGCCCGTTCAACCGAAATGGACATCGGCGACTCAATATGTTCAAATCGATGGACGTGTATACGATAGATAGCTTCTGTAGTAAACGATCCAAGGTCATCATCTCAGTCGGACGAGGAGCGGAGTGAGAACGATGGTCCTTCGCGACGATTGCTGTCGCTTTTGTATCGCATCATACGAACGTGCCTCGTCCGCGCCGCGCTGCGCAGTCTTCTCGACGAAAAGACAAGATCTGCCCGTCGCGGTAGCGTAAAACCGCCACTGGATTCATCATGCCGTTTCTCGCTGCGCCCGTGTCTTCCGTGTCGCTTGCATCCTGACGTCACGCGCTGCGGCTCGACGCGCAGGTGGGCGCTGGAATCACCCTCGCTTCTTCCCACGGCTTGTGCACGCCGAATTCTTGTGACAGGCGTCGATCGTTTCGTTGCTATGCAAAGAACGTCTTGATTCGCTTCCAGCCAGCTTGCGAAGCCAGGTGGGGGACAGTGAAGTGGAGCAGCATCCCATTTGATGGCATCGCGAGCAAACATCGCGGGCCTGGCTTGGGCCAATCAAAATGCGCGCCTCGTGCGACCTTGAACGTGCCTTCAACGCCCAGGCCATATCTATGCCGACAGCGCGGGCTTATCCTACCGTCGCACACGGTGAACACCGCGGCCACGCGCCGTTGCCTCTGATTGGGTGGATACTAGGCTTTCATGCATCCGATTGGCGGTTCGAATTTTCAGCCAGCCAATCCGTCGCACTGCGACACGCTGATTGGCTGCGAGCATAGCAAGGCAGCAAGGCCGGCAGCTCAGGCGCGGGAATGCATGCCGATCGCTTCAGAGTTGGGTCGGCGGCCAATCAGGAGCGTGCGCACACGTGACCAGGTCGAGCGAAGGAGCCGTGGACTGGATACCTCGCGCGATTTGATTGGCCCGATGCGCCGCGTGGAATTCGCAGGCACACGCATGCTTTGACGTTGCTCTTGAAGGGAGGATCGCCAGGATCGGCGAGTCTCATTCTGCGATTCGCGTTGCATCAGCCACTTCTACTTTTCGCGATGGACCTCTCTCGCCTCCTCTCGCCTTGCATGGACGACGACGTCTCGGACGCGACGTCGACGGCCTCGGTCTCGCCGCCGTCGTCGCCGGTGCTGTGCCCGTCGTCGCCGCCATCGTCGCCGGCCAGCATTGCCTCGTCGTCGTCGTCGTCGTCGCTGCGCACGGGCAAGTGGTTTTATGAAGAAGAGCAATATGCGCTCGCGCTCGTCGAGTGCTTTCTCTTGAGCTACTTTCCTTCGCTCTCGGCCGGCTCGTCGCTGCGCCTCTTCCTCGCCGACAAGCTCTCGTGCTCGCCGATGCGCATCTCCAAGAAACTTAGCCGCGAACCGCTCGAGCTCGCGGGCGTCGCACTGCCCAAGAAGCTCGGCCAGCAGCGGTACCTCGAACAGCCCATTGACACGGCCCAGCGCACACGGACGCTCGCCCACTTGGCGCAGCTCGAAGCGACTTTCCATCGCTGCCTCGCGCACGAACACCGCCTCGCGTCGCCGCAAGAAGCCCAGAAGCGCGGCATGGACATGCACTCGAACGCCATGCACCGCACGGGCTACTGGTTCCGCGAAGAGCAAGTGTACGCGTGGAAGCTCATCGATTTCTTCCTCAAGGGCCAGCTCCGCCTCCGAAAGGGCACGACGCTGCGCGCGTACTTGGCCGAGCAGCTCGGCTGCAGCCCCATGCGCATCTCCAAGAAGCTCGCGTCCGGCCTCATTGGCGGCAAGACGATCCCAAAGAAGGTCGGCACGGCCACGTACCGCCCGCAGTCCAAGCACACGGCCGAATTTACACAAGCCGCGCTCAAGGCCGAGGCCGAGCTCGCGGCCGCCCGCGCCGCCTGCTTTGCGTTCAAGACCAACCCGAATGCGTACGCAGAGGCGACGCTGCGGCCGATCGCGACGCCGCTTTTGCTGCTGCGCCGGGCCGCCATGGTCGAAGTCTGAACGCATCACTCTGTCTTATTTATTCGCCCTTTCTAAATCTAACATGTTAATCTCGTCCGTTGCCAGTTCCCATGCAGTAGCGTCGCTGGTTTCTGACCACTTGGCACTTGACATTGCTCTTCTGTCTCCGATGTGGACCCAGTAGCACTGTCCATCGAACGTTGGCGGCCAGCTGCCAGCGCAGGCATTGGCCATGGATGACGCCGTGTCGTGGCAGCGTCGTTATCGTCGATCTAACAGCATATCTAACGCTACCATGCCCTTCAACGAGGCGTTATAACATTTCAACACCCAGCAAGATCGACCTCGCGACGCGATATCGAAGCCGACGCAGTGACGCCACCTTCGATAGAAGCGCTCGCAGCTGACAACATGGGCTTCCAGCGAGCTCGGCGCCACGCACTCTGAAAATGTCGAAAGGAGGTGGCACGGCAGCTTGGTATCTTGGCCCAAGTTTTTTTTGCTGCGCCAACTCGTCCGAGCCAAGGACGCTGGGCGCTCAGTGTTGCCACGTGCGACGTTGCCATGACCGGGCAGGAGCAGCAGCAGGTGGTGGTACCACCAAAGTGTATGCGTGAGTTCAACGGGCGGGTCGTGTGGCCTTTCTTTTTCTGACGGTTCAGAGATTGGTGTCGCAAGATCGCGGTGCATCTCATGTGCAACTGGCGCCACCCGGTCGACGGCTGCCACAAGTTCATTTGTCAAGTCGCCGACTGTAGTAGTACTATGGAGATTGCACGCCTTCTGTGCCACCCCGTGCCGCCGCGTGGGGACTTGCGCCGGGGCATGTGGACCGACGTTGAAGACAGCTACGCGCTATCGCTCATCGACGGCTTCCTCGCCGGCTGCTTTGCGGGCGCGGTCTTGCCCGGTACGTCCCTTCGGTGCTTCCTCGCCAAGCGACTGCGTTGCTCGCCCATGCGCGTCTCGAAGCGACTTGCGTTCTACAGCCTTTCCCAGCACATTCATTTGCCCCAAAAGGTCGGCAAGCTGCGCTACACGCTGAACCACACGCTGGCACCCGAGATCGCGGCGAGTATGTTGCGCCATATTCAGTACCTCCAGCGTGTCTTTGACCAGACGCAGACGTCCCCCAAGGTGGTCGACGACGACCGGCCACCGCCGTCGCCTGCGTCGCTCCGCGTGGGCATGTGGCTGCCCCAAGAGCAGACCCGCGCGTACAACTTGATTTTGTCGTTTGTGCACGGCGACTTGCCGTTGGCACGCGGTACGACGCTTCGATCCTTCCTCGCGGCCGAGCTCCACTGCAGTCCAATGCGCATCTCGAAGAAGCTTGCGACGACCGAGCTCGCGGGGCGCAAGCTGCCCAAGCGCATTGGCTCGGCCTTGTTCATTCCACGAGAGCACCGGATGTTGCTCAAGCAGCTCAAGATGGTGTCACCGTCGTCGGCGTACTTTCTGAGCGGTTCCATGCAGTCGTCGTTTTAAAGGCTTGTGCTCAATAGACATGTTACAGTAGCGCAGTTGTTCCATGAATTCGCGAGCTCCTGTCAACAATGATTCACCCAACGATTTGTGCTGTGGTCCTTCCTTTGCGAATACTACTTCGTTGATCCGCACATTGCACTTTCTAGATTGCACTTTCTAGCTGGCGCCACGTCACAACAGGGTGGGGCATTCGGGTGATCATGCATCGTTGGTGAGCGTGTGATCATGTGACGCGCCGTGCGACCGTTCCGAAGCGACTGCACCAATCACACTCGTTGGTGAGCGTGTGATCATGCATCGTTGGTGAGCGTGTGATCATGTGACGCGCCGTGCGACCGTTCCGAAGCGACTGCACCAATCACACGCCTTGCAGCGTAAAATCAGGCGCCAAGTGCCCCGCGACTCGAGTCGCACTGTTCATTTTCATGGCTCTGCCAACTACGATCTTGTTTGCCCACCGATCCGGGTCGTGGTCGACCGAGGAAGAGGCGTACGCGGTTGCACTCATCCAAAGCTTCCTCTTGGGCTACTACCCGACCGTCCTCCCCGGCACATCGCTCCGCGTCTTCCTCGCGGACAAGCTCGACTGCTTGCCCATGCGCATCTCGAAGAAGCTCGCCCAACTCCACGCACCCGACGCGGTGAACCCCAAGCACTTTGGCCGATTGCGCTACGTCTGCGACCCGTCCGTGCTGCATGGCATCAAGCGCCAAGCGGCGCGCGACGAGCTCGATCTGCTTGTTGTTTCGTTCGATCGGAGCGTCGAGGTGCAGCGGGCGACGCCGATCCCGCGGCCGTTGAAGCCATCAGCAAGTGCGCGCGCAGGTCCATGGAGCGACCAAGAGCAAGACTACACGTACGCCATGATCTCGTACTTTATCCAGGGTCACCTTGGCTTGCCGGATGGTACGTCGCTCCGCGCGCACCTCTCACGACAGCTCGGGTGCACGCCGATGCGCGTCTCCAAGAAGCTGTCACTGGCGACGCTGGCAGGCCACGCGCTGCCCCACCGCGTGGGCACGCTAGGGTTTGTTGCCAACGTGGAGGCCGGCGCCGCGACGGGCCGGAACGACGCCCGCGTGCACTTGGTGCAGTTGCGCAGTGACTGCTATGACGACGCGGGTCTCGTGCTCTTTCCGATCAACGGCGCCGCCACGAGTAGAACCTGCAGCCAAGACACATAGATGATAATATAACGACATACCGGATGAGCGATCTACATGGAACCATTGTCTAGACCATCAGTCAGCATAGTCAAGCGAGCACTTAAGGTTATGGTACATGTTCGCTAGCTTCTTGCGTTCGACAGCAGTCCGCTGGTGATGTCGATGGACCAGCTACATATTGGTGAACGAATCACTGGAGACCAAAGGTTCTGCCCGCGGTACGGCGAGGCGGCGTTGCCCGAGGAGCGGTCCTTGTGGGACAGGGTGCGAACCAGCCGTTGCGCACGAGATGGGTTCCGACAACGTCGAGTTTTCGAGCGTATGAGCCCCCAGACAAGTGGTTTTGACCGGCGCGCTACGCACCTCGGCGTCCATGACGGAGGTTACCGAGGACGATGTCCTCCGTGTTGCTGGCTTGCGTCAAGATTGAGATCAATCAGGTGTATGCTCATGTGAAGCCTTTCTAGACGTCCTGCTTGGACCAGATTCCTCGCCCGCCGACGCTGTCGAAAACACCCAACTAACCAAGCCCGGCTCGATGCTCTAGTGTCGTCCGACAGCACCATCTAGCTCAACGTTTGTCGGCGCAACATTCGACTCGTGGAGCTACTCTGCGAACACGGTCAAGTGGGAGAACCAAGATGGTCCAGCGGTCGGGCGTCGTCGCGTGTCCAACGGTGCGATCTTGGTACTCCCACTTGGCCGCGTCTCGTCGGGCAGTTGAGATGGCTTTTTGAGGTCGTTGGTGCCAGAACCAGCTTCTCCTCAGTCCTCCTACACCCTTCACGACATCGTCCTCGGACGTGAGTACGACGACGTGATGCATGCAGCTGCGTGCTGAGCTGGTTCGCTGTGGCGTCCAAGACCGGCTATGCAGCGCGGAAGCCACAAGACGCGGTCCAGTGCTTTTGCGATGCTACTGCAAGGTGCCGCTGTCAGTGGTTGCCTCCTCAGGCGCATCGCAGGTCTGCAGGTCCATTCTATCGCATACTAGTATGGAATATCGTATACTAGTAACAGAATGCGAACTAGGCCGACTTGGTCGACTTGGTGTGCGTCTTGTTTCGAACGTGTGCCACAGTGCTGCAGAGGAGCAAGCCTACGCACGTCATTCAATGAGGATCGACTGTCATCCGTGCCAGGCGTACAGGGCAGCGCGACTGGCAGCAGCACGAGCGAGATGGCGGCGCCCGCCCACAGACGAAGCGTGCCCCAGATATTGGTCTAGACATCGTTCAGACCTAATGCACAATTGACCAGGATATAAAATACCTCGGGCGTGACGCAGCGACGCGAGGCCGAGGCCGATGCGAATTCCTACGGGCACATATGAGTCGATGGACGACGACATTGTATGGGCGTACCTGGTGGGCAATGAACTCGTTGAGGAGCGCTTCCTTCTTGAGCCACTGCTTGTCGAGGAAGCTCTCCACGTTGGTGTTGGCGTCTTCGAATGCATGCTTTGTGATGTGCAAGTGAACGTGCTCGGGGTGCGTTCGCGCCAGCACGTGCTGCATGGACGGCACACCGACGTCAATGTGGCGGCTGTAGCCCATCTCGTACGTCGGCACTTCGCCCGAGTAGCTCGGGTAGCCGATCGTGATGTCGTAGATCTCGGGCTTGACGTCCGTATTGGCATACGCGTCAAGGAGGAGCTGCAGCCCCGCGGCGCGCGGCAACAGCACGCGCTCGAGCGTTGGCCGGCCTTGTGCAGTCGCAAAATTTTGCGACTTGGTCACGTACTCGGTGTGGATCGTTGTGCCTTCCGGAAAGAGCATGAGCCAGACGGGGAAAGCGTCTTCGACAAACGACTCCATGTACTCTACACGATACGCATGAGATGGCCTATGTAAGAGATGAGCACATACGCTGGACGTGCGGCTTGTCGTGGGCCAGGTCGCGCCGAAGGAAGAGCGTCTCAAACATGTACATGCCCCAGCCAAAGACGGGCACCTTGGCCAGCGAGTCCTTCATCGCGATCTTGACGTTGGGCGTGCCGCCGTGGGCTTGGATCACTATACCAAAGTATGGTTTAGCTTCGTGTCGTCGTTGTATGGAGATCATGCTGGCGTACGCTGCAGAATGTACCACCAGTCGGCGTCGACTTGGTGGTTGGCGATAAAGATAACGGGCACGCTCGTGTCCTTGGGCATCGCGTCGCCGCTACACCAGACATGTGAGGTGACGCGCGACATGGCGTTGCGTACGTGACGACCATTGTGGCCGAGGGCGAGTAGAAGGCCGTAAAGTCGATCCAGTCTTGAAAGCAGAGCGTGCTAGTACAGAGCCACGCTGAGCCTCGAAGCGCCGCACGCTATGGGTGTACCCCATGAGCTGGCGGGCGTAGCGCCGGCCAAATGGCTTGAAGGCCATGATCCAGAGCTGGTAGAGGTTGAGCACCGCCATGTTGAGGAAGATCCACGCAGCGCCAAGCGCCGCGCGGAGCCGCAGAAAGCTCGTGTTTAGCATGGTGCAAAGTGGAAATGCTGTTTCTTATTGCTGTTTGCTGGTTTCGATCGAAGCTCGTCGAATTCCACGTCGCTACACGTAAACACCACCGTGGTGATGACATTTTTCACACGTTCCGTGGTTCTGATTGGTGCAGACCAGTGCACACTCTCTTCTCACATGTGCGAAAAGGTGAAAAATGTGTTTTGCACCGTTGGCGTGTAGCGAAATCAGCGGCTCGGAATTCATCGGGCGCACCCAACCACTGTTTTGCACAAATCCACTGTTTGCAAAGACGCTGGTTTTATACTACGTCCGCGCGCTTTGTCTGCGGCTGTCATAGGACGATCGTGATCGTCAGACTTGCAATGGCACCCAAATCTCTTGAATGTACTGGCGACAAGGCCGAGTCGATAGAGGCGGTCGCCATTTGCGATCAGGTCCCGTGAAATGGAGTTGCTTTCTGCGGCAGCCGCGTCCGGGGTTGACGCGTGCGAAGCGCTTCGTTGACGTTGCTGCAGCCAATGCATTCACGCGATATACGTGGCACGGTCGCTCGAGTAGCCGCGCGGCCAGTGAGGCCAGCACGCGTCGGAGTTGCAGGGCAAGCCACCCGATTGCACGTTGTCGTGGCGTCCATCGGGAATGATTACAATACCAACCCAGGGGTACATAATGGTCCCACCGCCGCATTGGTCCAGTGTCGTTCGACCGCTGCCCACTGACCAGCGCTACGAATCATCCAGCCACGATATGGGCGTATTTGCAATCTTATTTTGAGATCTTATTGCGTCTCGGGTATCCGGAAAATCCGGATACAAACGGCAAGATGGCGGTGCGATCAACGCTCGCCTGTCTCGTGCTGCTGCTCGTGCATGTGGTCCTCGTGACGCTGTATGCGTCCGCCTTTGCGCTGCTCTTGCCGTTTGGCCGCGCGCGCATTCGCCGATGCATTGCGTCTGCCTCCGCGCGCTTTGCTCGCGGCTCATGCCTCGTCTTAGGGCGTACTGTCTTGTCGACTGGGTCGACCTGTTGAGCGTTCTCTTTCCTGTCGCCACGTTGACGCTCAGGTAAACGCCACGCGCATTGTTCGCGCGGGATGAAGAGCATGTGTGTAGTGGCGACGCGCCTCGGACAGCGACCGCAGCAACGCCGATCGTATTGGTGGCCAACCACCAGGTTGACGCCGACTGGTGGTACCTGCAGCAGTGTCAGTCATCGCGACAGATACAGTCCGTCTGGTCTCACTGCTGCGGTTAGATGTGCGGCTGGTCGGCGCCGTGCCGCAGCTCAAGCTTTGTATGAAGAGCTCGCTGGCGTACGTACCCTGCATGGGCTGGACGATGGCGCTGCTTGAATTCCTCTTCCTTCGGCGCGACCTGGTCCACGACAAGCCGCACGTCCAGCGTATGTGCTCATCTCTTGCGTTGGCCATCTCATGCGTATCGTGTAGAGTACATGGAGTCGTTTGTCGAAGACGCCTTCCCCGTCTGGCTCATGCTCTTTCCGGAAGGCACAACGATCCACACCGAGTGCGTGACCAAGTCTCAGGCGTTTGCGACTGCGCAAGGCCGGCCAACGCTCGAGCGCGTGCTGTTGCCGGGCGCCGCGGGGCTGCAGCTCCTCCTTGACGCGTATGCCAATACGGACGTCAAGCCCGAGATCTACGACATCACGATCGGCTACCCAAGTTACGCAGGCGAAGTGCCGACGTACGAAATGGCCGCAACGTCGACACGGGTGTGCCCTCCATGCAACGGCTGGTCGCGGGCGATGGGCCGGCGCTCGTGCATCTGCACATCACGTGCCACGCCTTTGCAACCGTCGCCAGCAACCATCGTCGGGTTTCTGGATCGTCAGTGGAGTCAGAAGGAGCACTGGCTGGCGCACTTTGCACAGCACGAGGTCCGACCTCTGTTTTCGTTTCCACAATTTACAGAACAGGCACGATGCAGTGCTTTGCAACGACAGCCACAGTCGTCGCGCCACCACTGGTACAATTTGACCTGCCGCCGACATGCGTTCGATGGGCGGTGGAGGCCAAGTGGCGTCTGGCCGTGCTTTGGATGTGGGCGGGCGCATCGCTCGGGCTCGCTTGTGCGCCGATCGTGCTGCTCGTCCCACAGAAGCGATCTTGGAGACGTCGCACCTGCCGTTCAAGTCGGGTTCCTCATGCACGCGCGTAGTGCTACTCCTCTGGTCGACCAGCCGCCTGTCACGTCGCGTGTCGTCACCGATTGGCGCGAATTGAGCTGCAACGCACGTCGTCTTCCTCGCGCAGGTGCGTGCGAAGAAGGGCGTCGAAGTTGCTGCGACTGCAAGCGAGGCGCAGCTACTTGAGAGTGGGCTTCAGAACACAACGAGAATGGAGTGGTGGGTGGCGCCAGCAGCGCAGCTACTACTCGTAAACGCCTATTTGAGCCAAAGCGGAAAGGCCATTGTGCGAAGGCCCTCTGATATCTCTGCATCGCACCGCCTCTCTCGGCGGCCACGAGCAGGGCTAGGGGATCGGGTGGGCGGGCACCTGGTCGGCCATTTCTGAATTGGAGCCGAATGGACATTGCACGGCTACTGGCGCCTGTACAGGCCGACGCACACGTCACCGAGCGCACCGGTGTGTGGCTGCCTGAAGAGGAAGGCTACATGCTGGCGCTCATCGAGTGCTTCCTGCGCGGTCTTCTCTCGACCGTCGAGGCCGGCACGTCGCTACGCAGCTACATCGCCAGCCAGCTCCAGTGCGCACCCATGCGCGTCTCTAAGAAGATTGCAGCGTTGCCGTACGCCAACTTTCGCAACATTGGCCGCAGCCACTTTGAGCCGCGGGCGGTCACGGACGCCGACGTCGAGACGCTGCAGCAACTGTTGCATGCCGAGACGCTCTTCAAGCGGGCCGTTGAGCCGCTCAAGACGCGGCACGCGGCGCCGTCCGTCGGTGAAAAGGCGACTGCTACGTGCGAGACGCGTGGCTTCTGGTTCCACTACGAGCAGCTGTACGCCGCCAAGCTCATCGAGTACTTTGTGCAAGGCGCGCTGGCACTGCCGACCGGCACGACGCTGCGCGGGTTCCTCGCCGAGATGCTTTGCTGCAGCCCGATGCGCGTATCGAAGAAGCTCGCGACGGGCTCGATCGCCGGTCGACCGATCCCGCGCCGGCTTGGCACGGCGGTGTTTGTGCCCCGACACGCGCTGTCCCGCGACGTGACATCGTCGATTGACGCCGAGCTGGCGCAACTGCGTAAAGACTGCTTTGCCCACAAGACACAGCACCGTCGCTATAGCGCCTAGTCCCTGTCTCGCTGTGTGTAGTACGTCGTAGAGTTAGTCGTTTTGAAACTTTGATGTGAATGAATGGTTGTTGCTCATTTAGACCGCCGGACGAGCGGCGAGTACTATAGTCGCATGGCCCCTGTCATCTTGACCGGCGAGCATGGGTGGCGGAGCACTGCCGAACGTGGTAGCAGATTCCTCAAGCCACTTCAAGTACCACTGCTGTGCCACAACGTCAGCTACTTTTGCAAAGCAAGCGCTGACGACCGAATCTCCGCATGCGCAATGCCAATCCGGATAAAATACGCTGTGTCAGATTCTGTATCCGATGCGATCTCGGCAGTGCACATGCCGACAATCGGATGGCTGCTATTGACGCAGTCTGCTGGTCGCACAAGCTTCCCCTACAGGTACTCATGGACCAACATGAAATCATGTATCAAATCGTCGCCTGTCCTTTCAGGTTGTGGGTCGGTCGCCTTAAAACACTGTATAAAATACTGTCTGCGCTAAAGACACGCGTTTATATTCTGTTTTATACAGTGTCTGTGCGCAATGCAGCGGTGCGGTGACGCGCTGCGTTACACCGCATGCCGACCGTTTCACGTTTGCAGAGCCTGCCACGTCATCGTGCAGATTCGACGACCGCGGCCGCTTGCAGCTTTGGTCAATCCATGGGCATGGACTGCCTCGAAACCCGCGGAGTCAAAAGGCCGATACCATCTCGCCGCTCAACGGAGCCTGCGCTGACGAGCTGTCCGTGGCATGGCATTCCGAAGGCGATATGCGAGCAACTCGTACGGCGTCGTTCGAAGTGCACGTCGAAATCAATCTCGCCGGTGATCGGCCTCGCCACGAGCTCAGTTTTCAATTGGCCTTGATGTCCTTGCTCGAGAACGTCGCCGCCGGCTTGCGCAAAGCAGCCTCCGGGCAGCTCGACCTCCACGACATGCTTTCGTCGAGTCGCAGCGGCAACGAAGCGCCGTCGGGGCCACCCGCCTTTAGCGGCTACGTGCGCAAGCAAGGCAGCTTTGTCAAGAACTGGAAGCGGCGCTACATGGTGCTGCACGACGACACGCTCTTCTACTACGTCTCGGAGCGCGCGACGACCAAGCCGCGCGGCTTCTTCCGCGTCACAGGCATCGCGTATGCGCCGGACCTGCCGCATGGTCTCATCGCCGACGGCACGGGCACGCGCCGCCTCAAGTTTACGCTCGCCGACAACGACGAGTGCGACGCATGGTACGACACCCTCTCCGAGCGCCTACACCGCACCGGCCTAGAGCGCGCGCAGAGCGTGCCCTCGGGGGGTGCGAGCCCGCCTGGTGTGTGGCACAAGGCCATGTCCGAAGGCAGTGGCGCCGCCGCCTTTGGCCGACTCGCTCGCCACGCAGCGGCCAATACGAACCTCAAGCACGTCGAGTCGGCGGCGACGCTCGTGAGTCCCGAGCTCGGCGCAGCTGTACACGAAGCGGCACCTGTCTTGCGCCAAGGACAAAAGCTGCTTCGGCAACACGAAAAGAAGTCGACACGAAGCGCCGCCAAGCAGCCTCGCCGCGCCAACAAGCGGGCCGAGGCCGAGGCCGACGACGAGGCGGATGCCAGCCCCGCGAGCGATGCGGATGTCGCCGCCGACGACGGTGCAGACAGCGAAGACGAGAGCATTAGCAGCCATCCTTAAGACAAAGTCCATACATACATATTTGAAGAATTGGCTGGCGCCACGTTGACACCCACTTGTAATGGCGTTGCGCTGGAGAGGAAGAGGACCACAACCCTGCTGGCAGCGTCGAACATTGGTGCGGCCGTTGACAGAACCGTTTCTCAGTGGCCATGGCGACCGGCAGCAAGGAAGTTGAGGTACCGACGACCGATGTGAATCGCCCGTCGCGCTCAGGAGACGGTAGGGGCAGCTCCGTGACGTGGCAACGCCACGCGACTCAATGCCAGTGGCGCCTCTACCGGCGGCCGGCAAGCCGCTGGAGCACGAGACGGAGAAAGCACCGAGTTATTTCGCCTGGGTATCGACTCCGTAAAATAAACGATGTGCTGCTGGACCTTGCGCTCTGACGTAGACGACATCGCCGCGCCGGGCGTCGCTCGAGAGCCTCTCGCAAGGCGACGAGCTCAAGCGCGCCACCAAGATGCACCTCGATCAGCTGCGCGTGTCGGCCGCGAGTTTGCAGCAGTCGTTGGCAGGCGGTCGCCTTGACGACCTCACATATCAGCGCCGGCTACAGTGCAAGGCTAACATCGAGCACCTCGACCGACCGAGCGCCATCACCTTTGTATCCGAGCCGCTTGGACCGCCGCTGGCCGCGCTGTTGTCGCCACCGCCACGACTAAGTCGTCGGGCTGTCTTGCCCGCGATGCCCGTGCACCCATTGCCAGTACACATCCTGCATAACGAGTCGGCACCCAAGGACATTCGGCAAGTGGTCCTCAAACCATCGACGAAGATCGCAACGATCAAGTCGACCAAGAAGGTGCATTTCGAGGCACCGATCGTTGGTTGCTCCGCGCTGCAGGCGACGCTCGAAGCCCACTTGAAGCAGCGTCTGGCGCGGGAAAAGACGCAGCTGTTGCAGAAAACCCAAGCGCGGTCCCGACGCAAGGCCGCCAAAGCAACGTCCGGCGCAATCGAGCGCCTCGAGCTGGTCAAGACGTCGACAAACAGCCCGAAAGAGGTGCCTACGACGACCTACGCGGCGTCGGTTCCAACGACGGTGGCGAACGCCGATGCAGCTCCGACGAGCCGCGAGGCAGTTGCTCCAACGGTGAAGTCAAGCACCGATCCCGCCGCACCAAAAGCCACATGTGGCCACACTAGCAAAGTACTGGCCACGACGCCCAAGCCAGAGGTACCTCCAGCGACGATCGTGGTGCAACCTTGTGATTCGTGTACGATAGAGCGTCCATCGTGTGCCGAGTCACATTGTGCCCTACTTCCATAAACGGCATCGCTACACGGTGTATTGATTGATTTATCGCAAAAGTAAAATGGACAAGATTGTCATATTTGGTAGAACCCGCTGCTGCTGCACCCGCGGTATCCGGTTGTGCACCCGCGGCACCTGTATACGACCGAGTACGCGGCAGCGTACTGCAAACCCAAGCGTCGGGCGCTATTACTCAAGTAGACGCGATCGATAGCTCATATCGTTTTAGCGTTATATACACATGGATTACAAATCTTCTTCGATGGCTTCTTGCTGCACGAGGATAAACTCGTACTGGTACTTGGGAGGCGGTAGACCCATCTCGGGCTTGAAAAGGTACTTTTCAAAGTCCACGTGGGCGAAATTCGACGTGAGCACGACGTGAAACTCATTGGGGTTGCGACAGAGCGGGATGTTGCTCGTGTCTTTGGTGTCGGCGGGTCGGTAGAGCGAATCGAGGTGGTTTAGAAGCCCTTTCCCTGCGTTCGAACACACGAGATCGCTTGGGAAGAACGCCAACCTTCCATGCTGCGTCACGTCGACCGGCAGCGTCGCGTCATTGAACGTTTTCCAAACGTCGACGACGCACTGGTTCATGGCAATGACCATTGGGTGGCCGCACTTGAGTGCGCCCACGAGTCGCGCCCGCGCCTCTTCCATGATCTCTGGCACGGGCACCTTGCGCATGCTCTTGTCCATGGCCATCTTCTTTCCATCGAGAAGCGTGCACTGGCGATAGCTAAAGAATGTATTGACGCGATCGCTGGCGTCGACCACGAGCGGCGTCTTGCCTCGGCTTACGGCGGCGGCGATCGCATCCAGCAGCTGTGGCAGCTCAATGAGCACTGTCGCCGCCGTAAATTTGGCCCGAATGGCAGTCATTGCAGTCTCATCCGAAGTGCCGTCGGCGACGAGAGCTTGGTATTGGGCTTGCGCATTAGCTTGGTCGGCGGGCGACAGCGCTTCGAAGCCGGCGATCGTGGAGGCGCCACCGCCCATACCAGGTCGTTTCAGTTGTGCTCGATATAGCGAGCGCGCTTGTGATTGGTCCGAATTTGATGCCAATCATGCAATGCACCAATCAAATTGTGTTATTCAAAAACATGTGTTCTGGCGGTGTCGGAATCGAACCCGATGGTTCTACAACTGGCCTAGCAACTAGTTCGATCTCGTTTTTGGCGGGCTCGGAGATTACCATGATGGAGGTGCAGCAACGTCATTCCTTCGGCAAAGAGAGCCGTAGGATTCGACAGCTGGTCGCGACCTGTGGCGCCGCAGGAACCGCGCCGCCAGTCGGAGATCCGCCGCCACGGCACTACACATCACGAAATGCGGGGGCTACAACTACTTGCGATAGCGCTCGCGATGGCACATCAAGGCGCTATGGCAGACACCGTGGCGCCAACAACGTTGCGACCCGCCTCGAGCAGCCCGACGCCGTCGTGGTCACCTAATTTGAACGTGACGTCGAGTCCCAGCCCGGCACCCAGCCCCTCTACGACACCGACGCCAACTATGACACCAACCATTACGGCATCACCGACACCCGCGCCATTGCCGCCAAGCTCCAGTCCAACGCCGTCGATGAGCCCGACAGCACCACCTTCGCCTTCATCAAAACCACCATCACCCGCACCGACAAGCTCCAGCGCCGCTCCCTCCCCTCAAACGACAACAAGGTTACCGGCCACAACTCGTCCTTCCGTGACGACGCCAAAGCCCCAACCAACAACGACGTCCAAGCCCGTAACAACCAACCCACCAACGTCGTCAAGGCACCAGACGTCGACGCCGCCGTCATCAACGACGCCTACGACGACAACGACCGCCCCGCCCACGACACAGCCGGTGCCACCGATCGTGACACCGACGTCAACGCCATCGACTGGCAATATCTCGAGTACGTCCATTATCGATAGAGACGCTCTGAGCGCTCATGACTGACCCGTAGGTGGCTCTAGCTCCAATGCCTCGGCGTCGACGCCGTGGGTCATCGCCGCAGACGTCGCCGGGTGTCTCCTCGTGCTCTTCCTCCTCGTCCAGTACCGGCGAGACGTCTTGCAGCAACGCATGCTGACAAAGAAAGACGAAGCTACGTCGCCGACGTATCTCCCGGCCGACAGCCCGTTTTGCTATGACGATTTCAAACCGTCGGAGCTCGAGCAGGCCGAGCCGCGCTTCCAGAGCTCCGAGCTGATCTTTGCCATCAACACGGGTGGGTACCGCGATAGCAGCGCGTCCCATGCCTCCAGCCACCGGTCCAGTGCTCATCCGCGCGATGCACTGAGTACGACCAACCATCGTGACGCGCTTCGCGCAACCAGCCTGCACGACGTTGTCCGCAGTACCGAGCACGACGTGCGCAGTACAAACAGCCTACTCGAAGCGCCAAGCAGCTGGGAGATGACTTCCTCGTTCACCTCTTCCCTCTCCGCGTCGTCCGAACCCGTCGACACGCCCCGGTTTCAGGAAATGCTTCAGGCTGCCCGCGGTGGTCTCTTCAAGAGCTAGTGACGCCATGAGGACTCGGTGTCCTAGTCTAGCTGTACAACTATAACGTAGATTCTATCGCTTTGCCCTAACCTCCTGAAAGTAATTCGATCCGAAAAGCAATCACGGCGCGCATTCAGTGCAAACTCCTACTCCTCACTCGACTTTCGCATTTCTCACAGGCAGGGCTAGCCTAGACTCTAGGCTAGCCCTACTTTTATAACCCCGAAAATATCTACTAGTACAAATGAGAATTCTTCACTAGTAGTGCTACTGTAGTAGAGTCGCGAGGGCTAGCTGCAGTTACTCTACGACGTATTCAAAACTGCCGCCATGGTGGACCGACGCCCGACGGTGCAACCCGTGCCAGTGCACCGAGCGCGCTCCAAGCGCCATGCCGACGACGTCAAGGTGCTCGTGTCGGTCAGCAGCATTCGCTTGCGGCGCGGCAGCGAAACCAAATACGAACTCTCCTTGTCCAAGCCACCGCTCCCCGTACTACCCTCTTCATACCCCATAAGTTCCATGGAGATCGTAGCATCACTGCGTCATCGTGTCGATTAGCTTCCCCAACATACCCGGTATTTCCGTGGTCCCGGCCGAGGTACTCTCGCCGTGCGCCATCAAGGCTTCCACCATGCGTAGGTCATGTTTACATGTGCCCACCGCAAGCCGCACGAGATCAACGTCCATGCGACCGACGCCGTCGAGCTCCAGCGCTTCAAGCTCGAGCACCGTGTGAAGCGGACAAAGCACTGCGACACCCGGTATATGTCCTGCGCGGTCACCAACCTCGCGGTTCAGATCCTACGGAAAGACTCTCTCTTTGTCTTTACTTTTGGCTCCAACTTGCACGGCCGTCTTGGCACAGTGACGCCCACCGCTGCGTGCACACCGACGCCGCTTCGCTGCAAGTGGCTCTTCCCTGTTCAAATCGCTTGCGGCCGTGAGCACTCGGCCATTGTCGACATCAACTCGCATCTCTACTGCTTTGGTAGCATGATCTAACTGCACTATGAGCATTGTCTTATGAAATGTAGGACGGGGCAGTGAAGGCCAACTGGGCCAGCTCCACGTCGACAACGTCAAGGTGCCCGCGATCGTCGCTTCGCTCGTGCAGCATCAAGTACGTTAGTTCTTTGCACATCTACATCTGGTTTACAATTTGGGTTTAGGTCTTCCACGTGGCATGTGGCGCCAACCACACGCTTTGTTCGGTCGACGGCGGCCGCATTTTTGCGTGGGGCGACAACACGTACGGCCAAGTACGTTTTGGATAGCGCGACGGCAAGGTGCACAACACGTCCTTGTGGTCTAGTTGGGCGTCGGCTTCAAGGCCAAGCAATACCACATACCGATCCACGCCAAGCACTTACCGTGCGCGGCGTACGCGATCGTGTGCGGCGGTGACCAGTCGTTCGTCATCTCGCAGCTCCACCAAGTGTACGTGGCCGGGTGCAACCTCGCGGGGCAGCTCGGGCTTGGCGACATGGGCAGTCGGCGGCATTTTACGCTCAACCCGCACTTGCAGCACGTCGAGCGCCTCGCTGCCGGGACGTACCACGTGATTGCCACGACGCCGACGCAGGTGCTGGTGTGGGGCAACGCTGCGAACGGTCGGCTCGGGCTTTTGCGACCTCAGACAGACTTTTATAACTTACCAACACCGCTCGAGGTACCCTAACCTCCTAACCCCCTAACCTCCTAACCTCGTAGCCTCTCCGATCTCTTAGCCTATTTGTGCTTCTAGATGTTTGCGGACGTTCGCGTCAAGGAAGTGGCGGCCGGCGGGATGCACACAGCGCTCCTCACTCACGTAGAAGGACCCGGCATCGATCCTTGTCTTGACCGACTTTGTGTAATCTGTAGGCAGGCGACTTGCTTCTCTGGGGAGGCAACAACTACGGCCAAGTGGGCGATGGCACCACGGTAGACAAGCCTCGCCCCGTGCGCCTGCGCCTCTTTGAGGGAAAATGCGTTTCCGCCATGTACTCGCTCCCCTTCGCAGCATGAGGTTTCAACAATGTTAGTGCGCTCGGCGAATGGCACTCGATCGCACTGGGTGACGACGGCTGCGTCTTTGCGTGGGGGTTTGGCGAAGAAGGCCAGGTTAGTCATCAAGTAGGGGTATTGACCAACGTGCACACCTCGGTAGCTGGGCTTGGGCGAAGATCGCAACGCCCACTTGCCCATGGTGGTCCACGCGCTCTCGGGCACAGCACCGCTCCGTGTGCACTGCGGCTCCGTCCATAGCGTCGTCGTCACGTCCATTGAAGTGGCGAACCGCTCGCAGCAGGAAAAGGATCAGAAGGTGCCTCGATGAAGGACAACTTGTCTTGTTTAATCCGGTCACACGTTAGCTCTCGGAGCTCAATGCGCAGCACGAACACCGGCGACTCTTGAGCCGCAAGTCGATGCTCTGGAAAGGCCGGCGTCCGACCACGAAACATCTGGACGAAGCAGCAACGACCGCCGCCGCAATGACATCGGAGCGAACGATCGACGTTCATACGTTGCCGACGACGATCGCTGAGACCGAAGAGACCACACCGCTCTCCGACGACTCGCTGCGGCAGTGTCTCGAAGCCGACATGACGCAGCATATGCACATGTCGCCGCCAGTCGCTCAGCGCCCGCCCCAGCACCCACGGTTGCGTCGCCCGCACACGGCCCGGCCAGTACGTGGCACGAGCACCGCGCCGGTGCCAACGTCGTGGCGGGACCGACCGATGACGTCTCGGCTGTCGCTACGACTCGCCCTTCGGTACGAGACAAGTTGTCCATATTTTCTAACGGTTTGTGGACGACTAGGGAAGAGTTTCACGTCCTCAGTGTCCTGCAGCGGCCAGTGGCGCCGCCAATGGACAAAAAGACAGTCTACGATCGACTAGATACCCGGGAAAAGCTACTCGGGGCGTTGCGGGACCCGTTTGACTTGACGTCGCCGGCGTCACCGGTGCACGGACGACCGCGTCGACCGTCGACGGCGCCGTCCAGACGCAGAGACATGGCGTCGGTCGTGAGCACACCGTCGCCAGTCGTGGTGCGTGTCGACAGCCTCACGGCGCTCCTGGACGAGGACATGGCGTCGACGACGAGCCCCGAGACAAGTGACAATCTCTCGGTTGCGACCGACGCGTAACTGTAGGAAAGACAGTGTATAGTGTGGATAAGTTGTCTGGCAAAGAAGGGACTGTCTACGGCTTGGGCTCGGTCGGCGAGCGCGGCGTCGTCATGGTCGGGATCGACGAGAGCGGGTTCGGGACGGTATGCGCCACCTGCGCGACCACCTGCGACGAGAGCGGACCCGCGAGCGCGGCCGCCGTCGACAGAAGCGACTGCAGACCAATGCTCACCATACCAGCAATGTCGCCCGCCTATATCGCATCTCAGATCGGAGTGGTCAGCATTCCGAAATGGACGTACGTTCTGGGGCACTTCGCCGAGCGCGATGGCTTCTTCAACGCGGCGATCGAGAAACTTCCTGTAGAGCAATGCGTGAGTGCCCACGGCGAGGCTCGAGTACGCACCAAGTGTCTTCGTGGTTGGGCGACGTGTCCGTGAGCATGAAGAGCTCTAGCGCGAGAATGAGGAGAGGCAGGCGGCGCGGAACGCACCCGTGGCCGTGTAGATGCCAGTCAAGACCGCGCGCTTCGTGTACCACGAGAGGTCCGTGGAGCGGTCGCCGGCGAAGAACCAAATGTCGTCCGAGGCCTGCGCGAGCTTCTTCATGGTTGTCGGCGCGTTCTGCGGCAGCGCGCCGAGCGCCATGGCCTGCGGCCACACGTGCAAGTACGGCGAAAGGAGCTGGAGCCGGATCTGGACACCGCGCTTGAGGCGGTCCGTCGGCACAAACTCGCCGTCGACGGGCTCGGCGGCCAGCGCGTCCTGCACCTGGCGCTGCCAGTCGTCCATGAAGAACTCGACGAGCTCGATAGGACCGCGCGGGAACATACCATGCGCGATGGACGGAAAGCCCGCGTCCCGCGCGCCCTGGCCGAGCGTCTCAATGGTCCAGCTACAGCAAGCAGGCATCAGCATCCTCCTCGCCGTCCTTGGCATCGTACATACCCCGAGGCTTGGACGTGGCGCAGCGCGTTCGTGAGGATCGTCTGGCTGGGGTCGGCGGCGACCGGCGCAGCCGGAGCCGCATGGGCGCAGAACGAGCGCGGGAGCGAGCGGAGGCCCAAGCGGCAGCGCGACAGCGTCGAGGTCAGCATGGTCCTGGGGTCAATTTCGGATGGATCAAGAAGCTGGTAGAACCCCAAGATGCATCACAAGTATCGAGTTTCAGAGGTTAAATGCAGTCTTTTTGCACGCCACCTAGGCTGCCTTTCTATCCGTATACCAGACCAAATATCCGGATAGCGCGCGTACGCCGACACTTGTGGCATCCACACGGCGCGTACGAGCGACAGTAGACCCTTGAAGAGCGAGGTATATCTCGTTAGGCACTTGACAATAGGCTGTTTTCTCTAAAACGCATGGTCTGGCCGCGAAAAAGGCTTGCGTCTTCTACTAAAAACACGCAACTTCAACGTGGCGGCGCGAAGCGCAGCGAAGATTTGAGGTTAGGATAGCGTGAGGTGGCTCGTCGCTTGGAGCGCCTGCATGCGATCTTGCAGCGCCTTTCGTTCGAGAAAGACGCGGCGTCGTTCTTGAGCCAGTAAATCTTCATAGTCACCATGCCTGCAGGATTGATGAGTCGTATCTCCATCCACTTGGTGTGAACATACGCGCTGTCGTCTTGCGCAGCCGTGGGCTTGTGGTAGCTTTCGTTTGCACTACCCACCATCGTAGTTGAAGACCGGACAACCAAGTCAATAGTACGAGAGGTCGTCTTCGGCGGCTGCCGGGCCCTTCTGAAGCTCGTCCATGCGCTCTTTGTATGCGCGTGCCGCTCGCTACACGACGCTATTTAGCGCAATGACAATATTACATTGTCTGCGATAGTGCAGACCTGGTTCTCATGAAACTGTCGACGGGCCGCATCTTCAAGTGTGTTGGGTGCTGCGCGTCGCTTGGGCGATACATTGCGCCTTTCAGATTGCAAAATGGACACACCGCCGTGGGCGTCGAGGACCGCGGCCAACGTCGTTGGACGACGGGGTGATGGGTCTACGTGGAGCTTGGGCAGCGCATCCCACGTCGCGACACTCGCAAGGTGCATGATGTGGCGTTGGATGAAGGGCGTGGCTAGAATTTCGGTCGCACTCGGGCGTTCCTACGGCCATGTATGGAGTAGTAGATCGTTGACGGACGACAGGAGCTACATGAGGTGTCTTGGCAAGTAGCTGGGACGCGAGTGCAATGATTTCGGGCGAGTAATACTGTCCATCAATGATCGGACTCGGTGTCGCCGTCACGATCTTTTGCACGATGATCGGCCAGCTACGCCCTGTAAACGGAGGCGCGAACGTGAGGAGCTCGTGGAGAACACACCCGAGGCCCCACAAGTCGCTTTTGGTGTTGTACTCGCTGCCGTCGCAAATCTCGGGGGATCTACAAAGTACATGTATCAATTGCAGTCGAATGGACTAACTCGTGTACAAGTAGAGAGGTGTGCCCACTTGGGTCATCGCCAAGTCGAGCGTGTGCGAGAGTGCTTTTGCAATTCCAAAGTCGCCGAGCTTGACGACGCCACTGGCCGTCAAAAAGATGTTCTAATGACAAGTTGTGCATCGTCGAGGACATGGCACCCTATGTACGTGGGGTTTGATATCGCTAGTACACAGTGATCACATGAGGACAACTTGTCTCATGAGAAGAGTGAGGTACCGATGCACGATGTTGCGTTCGTGCAAGTACTGCAGCGCCAAGCAAAGCTGAATCAAAATGCGCACGACGTGGGCTTCGGGTAGCCGCCCCCTACGCAGTGTACATGTATTCGGCCCACCGAGCGTCCTTGGAGTTACGTGGCGCGGTGTTGGCAAACGAACGCGTACAGGTCGCCGCCGTCTGCGTACTCTAGTAAGAGGACGGGGTCCCCACTGTCTTTGCTTGCCGTCGACTCGATCAAACTGACAATATTCGGGTGCTGAAGCCGGCGCATGACATCAACTTCGGCCGCGCATGACGAAAGCGAAGTATGAATCGTCTTGGCCACGACGAAAGCACCCGAGATGCAGTGGCGCATTAAGACCGCGTCGCCATGGCTGCCCCGCCCGAGCTCTCGCACCGCCTCGAACCGAGGATCCATTGAACACTGTCGGCGAACTATGTCGTTACACCGCCCACTCGTCCCCACTTCGATCCCCGATGCGTCAGAATTACGTCATATAATAAATAGCGTTGAGCCAGACGCTCACGTTTGCACCTTGTTTAGGATATACGGGCGATGCCAGGAAGCTCAATGGTCAAGAGGCCGGAACGCTACACCCTTGGAGGACCCTCTCGGGCTGCTCATCGAATGGATCAAGGCCCGCTGCTTTGTTTTTGCGAGCGTTCTCGAAAGCGTCGCAGGTTCACTCGACTAGGTTTTTGCGTCTCGTTTCACGAGCGTCAGGTGTACGCCAGATAAGTTGTGATTCTTCGCCATAGCTGAGTATCAGCATTATGGAGCTTTTAGTGGAAAGCAAGTGCGTGCCGAAGCATCTACTGCTTCGTTGAACCGCGCCCGGCATTTCAAAAGCGGCAACAGGCAACGCGTCAAGACACAACTGTCGGTGAAATTTGATAGTTCATATCCCTAGCCATTTATAACGGTTGACTGTTGTGTATCCTGGCCCCAAAATGGTCGAGTCAAACCCGCCTGTCTCGGGATGCCCGAGCCAGGGCCCTCGTCCCGCGCGCGGGCGGCCAAGGCGACACCGTACGCCCGCCCCCCGCCGCGCACGGCGCTGCCGTCGATCGCAAAGCAAGTGCCGCCGCCCTCCGGTGTCGTCCAGGCGCTGCTTGGAGACACGAGCTCCATTGAGGCCCGTCTCGATAAGCTCCAAGCCGACTTGCACGCGTCGTTTGCTCACCACGCAACGCGCATGGACCGCCTCCAGCAACAGCGCGGCATCAACACCAAGCGGATTCTGCGACAGCGGCACGTGAGCCTGACGCTCGCGCACCTCGAGCGCGCGTCGACCGCGTTACGCGACGGAACCGAGGCTCTTTTGTGCCCGACTTGCCATGCGTTTCGAAGATCCGACGATTTCCTTCCGCTGCCGGCACCGTGGACCGAGTGCCGCATTAGCGCGAGCCAGAACCACTTTTGCCACGGCGGAACGCACGAGATCCGAACGTCGCCGCCACCAGGAACGCCGCCGGTGGCCGCCATTGTGTTTCAGTACCACGGCACGACGCAGCGCGTATGCCAATGTCCCCCCGTCGCCCCGCTACCCAAAGCGCGGCGTATCTCGTCCATGGACTTTCCCGACATCCACGCGATCGTCACGCCGCCGTCATAACCAGTGGTCTTCGGGCCCTGAACCAATTTGAATCGACAACCAAGTGGTTTGAACTCGTTGATAGCACCATTCGCTGCAAAATGTCTAGCAGTAACAATGTGTCATCGCCGTCGACAGTTGTCTTCCAGTGTACAATGTGTGTACCAGGGTATGTACGACATGCCGTCGGACGTGCAATACACTGCACTAGTATCCGGACGGTCGCTCCAACAAGGTCTCAAGGTGTTTGATAGATGGTTTGATTTCTAAATTTACACGCACACAACGGACTTGCTAGTATTTTCGCGCGGCGTTTGGTGAGATGCAGACGAAGGCGTCATCGCCGCCGCGCGGTGTCGGCATTGACGAGCGCCTCCCTGTGCTACCAAAGGTGCACATGCCGCTCAAGGCCAGTCTCCAAGATACGCCCCCGCCAAAGGGCTTTGTCACTAGCCTCCAAGACGGCGTCGCCAAGTGGCTCCAGAAGAAGAAACCAGAACCAGCGATTGACTCACCGCCACAACCTGTCCACACGGGCCTGCCCGAGAAGACGGAGCTACGAAAGCAACGCAGCGCATGTCAGATCCTCCTTGGCGCCAATTCGAGGGAGCTTCCGATGCTGGATATGCCTGAAGAGCTTTGCTCTCGCTGCCACGGGTTCTTGAAGCATGACGCGATTCCTTGTCTGCCTGACGACTGGACCGAGTGCAAGCTCAACTCGGGACGCACCGGCTTTCTCAACACCAAGACCAACGAAAAGCTAGCACTTCCGCCGCCCGGAATGCCGCCGACGAGCTGCGTGGTGTTCCAGTTTCACGGAACTACGTCGCGTGTTTGTCGCTGTCGCCAGCGCCATAGCTCGTTGGCCTCACCCCCACGCAAGTCGCGGCGCTACTCGGTCGGCGCAGAAGGTGCTCCAGTTGCCCTCTCGAATGCGACTTTACCCAAGAACACATCCCCGCTCAAAGACACACCTCCGATGGTGCGACGACAATCTAGTTTGAAATAACAACGATGTCGCTTTCTTTGTACAGTAATCGAGTGTGCAGAGTGCATGCAATAGGGTAACCGGTATGGGTGGTTTCCTGGTTTATTCAGAGGAAATATACGTTTGAAAATGGGAAGGTGAGAACCAGACCGGCCCCAGACCCTCGCTTATCAAGACATGCTTGGACTCGAGTGCCGAAAAGCAAGCCTCGTGACAAGCCTGCAGGTCTTATTCTATGCGGATATAGTCTTCCGCGGGATGGTATGGATCATCTTTCCCGCCAAAGCGCACCCAACGAGAGAACGCTGACGTTGTGCTTGTCACTTACAGCGACCGCCGGGCTCTCGACAAACGCATCGGCGCCTTCGAGGCCCTCACCGAGCTCTGGGTCGCGGTTCTCGATGAACCGCTTCTTGGTCACTTGCGCCTGCTTGAGGTTTTCGACGGTGCCGACGAGTTCGCGCGATCTCGTTCGCGAGCGGCGACGACAAGTTGCCAATGAAGACGCACATGTTCTTTCTCCGACGATGCACCCGGCGGCGGCTCTGGATGGGGCTAGAAACCGCAGCGCCAAGTGCTAGCTTCGTGTCGGTGTTTGCCAGCACAAATCATCTACGTCTGTTGTGGGCCATTAGGTCTCCGCGCACGTGCTTGTATGTGCCAGTACCGACTGTTGTTGAGCTCGAACAAATTTCTTATATATATAAGATGCCGTTGGTGTCGGTGAGCGCCAAATGGTGTGGCACAACGGCCCCCGGCACCACCGGCTCGCGTCGTGCCGCACAGCACCGTGATTGATCACGCCTTTAGCACCGTGGAATCCCCTACCCCTATATGAGGCAACCGCTCTCGGTCAGTGCGCCGCCGGTTCTTATAGCTTATGGTTCAGAACGTACTCGTATTGGATTTAATAGATGCCTCCATTTGCTTACTGCGGTCAAGCCCCAAAGTTCCCAGAGGTATTCTCTCTCCCCGTTTAGAGAAAGACGTTGATCAAGTTGGTCGATGGGTGCAAAGACGCTTCACAATAAGCGTTTCCGTCTACGTTATCCCAAATCAATGGCGGGCCGTAGTCGAACCAATGAGACCAAACCGGTTGTATTTTTAACAATCACGCAAACTCGCGTTGTCGAAGCAACGTCACGCCACTCTAGAATGGCACAGGAGCCGACTCCGCGGGGTCGACGACCCGCCCGCCGCCCACCGCTGCTCCGGGGTGGCAGCAACAATGCGCTCTGCGCCAGTCTTCCAGTGATGCCCAAGGTCTACCTCCCCCTCAAGACATATTATCACATTGAGAACGGCTTGACGGTCGACGAGGTCTTGACGAATTTGCATATTGACCCGTCGACGACCTTTGCGCCCCGAAAAATCGAGGCGAATGCGGGGCACCGGGACATGGACGCCCTCATTGAAGGTCGACCAAAGCCCAAGGACATACTCTGTCCACGCTGCCGCGGGTTTCGAAAAGAGTCGAACGTACCCGAGCTGCCGCCATTCTGGATTGAAACGTGCCGGACGTCGAGCGGCAAGTGCGCCTTCTACAATACGAGGACGAAGGAAACCCTCGACTTCCCGCCGTGGGGCACCCCCGCGATTAGCTCGACGGTCTTTCACCACCATGGAACGACCCAGTGTGTGTGCCGGTGCAACCAGTCGCGACGGCATACGGCGCTGGCGCCGGTGGGCCGGGCCAAGACGAGCCACGGCAAGCGGACCCGATACCACTCGGTCGTGGGGCTTCGCACGGGCAACATGTAGTCGAATACGTCTTCCAGCTCTGAGCAGCGAGAAGGAGAGGAAAGTTGAATAATTTAGGACGTTACCGATGTCGAGTTGAAATATTTGAATACGCCCAGCATAAGGTGCGATTGTGTAAGAGCGCGTTGGACACATTGGTGCACCAACGGGAAACACTGCACAGTGGTGTGAGTGGGCTAAATGTGATTTGGAGTGCAGCGATGAAGGTGCCACGTGCGCGCACAACAGCTGAGATGGTCCTCGACGCGTTCACGACCGCACAAAAACAGGACAGGTTGTGGCAGGACATACACCGTATGTAATGCAACTTGATTATCGAATGCGGACGCGCCAAGTACCGCCACCGACAACACAACGTTTCGGATGGCTTGTTGGTTTGGTTGGAGCTGGCGTTTGCTCGCTTGTCGCGATTGTAGCTCACCCATTCAACAATTGAAGGGCGTGACGCAGGCTCACAACCCGCACGTACCGTGGCTCAAGCACAGTTGTGGGGTTATCCAAGTTTATCATCATGTCCACTCTCAATGCCTTTCAATGCAGCGAATTCAGGTTACTCGACATCGTAGTTGACTAGGAACGCAGCTGACCGACATTATCTACAGCGCGAGTCAGCGAGGAATGTATGTTTCGAGTTTGTTCACCAACAGCACACCGCGACCTGCACCGGATCGTGGAAGCTAGAGACCCCATGAATGGACGGCAAACGAAATTCACATATACATTTTCGACAACTCGTACCGGTTCTGGTTCCGCTGGATTCTAGTTGTGGTTCTAGTCCATATCTGGGTTGAACGTTGCGGAGGTGTCGATCATTTTTTCGACGACGGACTCACGCCATGGACTCACGCCGTGTCTGCCAAGCCGAAGTCACATTCGATTGGTTGAAGTGGGTGGTCCACATCGTAGTTCGAAGCCAGAATCGCAGCAAGCATACGTTAACCAAGTACAATCATTTTGCTTCGACGAAGTTTTAGGTTGGGAATGAGATCTGAGTGCTCGCCTCGTCATCCGCTCATCTGCACCAAGCGGCCTTTCTAGCTCACTTTTCATTTGGCCCGCAACGCCGCAAAATGGTGCTGCAGCTCGAGTCGTTGGTCACAAACACGACGTTCGGCCATGTCTTCCACGCCACGAACGCAGGCGTCTCGTACGCCGTCAAGCAGTACACGGAGGTGTGCTACGAAGCAACAGCTGAGCTCCGCGTCGCAAAGGCGCTCGCCAACGATGCGCCGCACCCGCATTTGGTGCACATCATCGACTGCTTCTACCAGCACGACATGGTCCACCTCGTCTTGGAGTACTGCAGCGGCGGCGACTTGTACGAATATTTGCATCGACGGCCGACGCTCGCCTCCAGTGACGCCCGACGTATCTTTGACCAAGTGGTCGCTGGCCTGCATCAGCTGCACCAATGCGGTTTTGCACACCGCGATATCTCGCTCGAAAACATCCTCTTGGACGAACACGGCGACTGCAAGCTCTGCGATTTCGGTCTCGCGGTCCCCGCTCACGAAACCAGCGACGCGGTTGTCGGCAAGCCTTATTATATGGCGCCCGAAGTCTACGCCGGCCGACCGTACGACCCCGCAGCCGCCGACATGTGGAGCCTCGGGATCCTCCTCTTCATGCTCGTCACCGGCGTGCCCATGATCCGTGCGCCGTCGGATGCCGACGGCGGGTACCGCATCGTTGCGCAGCAAGGCGTCAAGGCGCTCCTCAAGCTCTGGAACATGCAGACTCTCTTTTCAAAAGATTTGGTCGATGTGCTCGACGGCTTACTGACGGTGAACCCCAAGCGCCGCCTCACGATGCGCCAACTCCGCGCCAAGTTGCAGCCCAAGTGCTCATGGCGACGCAAGCTCGCTTTGTGGTTTTAGAGGCCACATGTGTCGTTATTTAGAAAGACAATTTATTTATTTACAATGACAAAGGCAATTCTGTCAACGAAGCCGCATTCGATGGCTTCTTCAACGGCTGCGGTTTGGTGCAGTAGAAAAGTGATCTCGAGTTGCGTTGCCTCGACTTTTAAAGAAAAAAGCCTTCCGATGTCGGTCGTCGCGACTCCATGGATCGAAAAGTCCCATAACAACTTCAACGCACAGTCGGTATATATCCCACCAACGGCCACGCGACGTGGCGTGCTCGCATTTCTTCTGCAGTATGGCTGCGCCGGTATTCTCCTGGATGGTTGCAGCAGCGGTAGCTAGCCTCTCGATAGACTACTTCCACAGGAATGGCGGGCGGTGAAGCATATTGTCTTTGGATCTTTTTTCGTGCTCGTCAGCAGGCAAACTCAAGAATTTATGTCGGGGCCAATGCACCGCTTCGACGCTGCTAGCACTCCCACCGGTCGCGTCGCTACGAGGAAGGCGAACAGCGTGCGCGTCGAGACCTTGCACGGTACGCCATTGGCCGGAAAGCGTTGGCTTTTTAGGATCACCACACAAGCTTATCATGCAAGATCGCCAAAAGCCAATTTTTATCCGGATCCGGATCACTTTTGGACAGAAATTCGGCTGGACGCGCAAGGGCCTTGTTCGCCTCCTCACCGACTGCGTTCCGATCTGCGGCGACCCTCGTACCGATAAGCCATGGGTTGTCCGCGAAGAGCTTCTCTGTCTCGTGTTGATGCTTGGGATCGCCTGTATGGGCGAGTGTGAGGGCCGCAGTGCTAACAGCGATTTCCCCGAAAAAATCCCGGACGCAAAAACGACATCGCATCCAACTCAGTGGACGAGCCTGATGGTAAGAACCACTCGGTCCAAGGTCAGTGGTCCAAGGTCCGAAGGTCATCAATTTGAAAAGGCCGACCAGTACGTATTTCTTGTTGCCGCCGCTGCACATTCCTACCCACAACGTACCTCGTTGACAATGCACGAGGCTCGACTCGCACGGTATCGCTGCGAATTCCCTGCAAAAAAGAGCGAGTTGCCCCGAGTCGTCGCACCCAAACATTGCTAGCGTTCTCAGCGTGTTATTAGCACCGAAGAGGGTCTCGTCACCGTCCCAACGCAGTGGCCTCGCGATGGTTCCGGCGACGTCTTTGCTTGCTACCCTATCCCTCCTCCCGCTCCGTGTCACGTGATGCCTGCAAGGTGCATACGTGTGTTTGTTGCTTCTCGTTACTTCGGTAAATTCTGCGTAACCATGGCACCACGAAAAGAAATCCTTGTCTATCCCGCGAGCGCAAAGCTCTCGTACGTTGACTGCAATGCTTCTAATAAGGGCGGTTCTTCTGCCCACAGCCCACAACCGGTGCCATCTCAACGGCAACGTCGATTTTCGCGTCATCTTCTTCTACAATTGGAGCGCGAGGCCGCCCGGCAGCAGCACAGACGACGTTCCTTTGATCTAGTTGAACACTTGAATTGGGCACTGTCGAAGAGCACATCTTAGAGCGCGGCATCGGAACGACCTTCTCGAAGTCGATCGAAGCATCACGCGATCGGGTTGCGGGATCACATGCGCCCGACCCCGCAATCACTTGGCCGTCGAGTCAGAAATAACGTCATCATGGCCGTGACAACTATGTGACCCGACGATCTTGGATGAAGGTCGCGCATTGGTCAACTGGTCAGCGTACGTCCCAGATGACGAACACCCGTCAACGCACTGCTATCGTCCCTGCCGCCGTCATGGCCTCGAGCACCCGCGCCCGCGTCCTGCCCGAGCTCTTCCAGCACATTGCGCTCTTCCTGCCGTCGTCGCTGGACATGGCCTCCTTCCTCACCGCTCTGCCGTCGAGCCTGCGCACGCCGGCGCTCGAGAGCCTCTTCATGCTCCACTGCGCGGTCGCCCAGAGCCGCCTCTACTTTCCCAAGTCCGACCCGACGTACCCGCGCCGCGTGCACCTGTGGCCCAACCTCGTCTTGCCACGCTACATTGCCGAGGCCGAGATTGCCGTTTGGATTGAAAAGGTCATGGTGCTCTACCCTGTCGTCGAGGTGCAGCACGTCGCCGTGCCGCTGCCGTACCCGCTGCTACCGAGCACCAAGCTCGCGTTTGACTATCCCATCTACCCGCACGAGCTCGAGCTCGTCTTGCGCCACTGGAAGGACCGCGCGATATCGATCCTGCTCCTCATTTCCGACAACGGCCAGCCGCACCGGGGCATGACGATGGATGCGACCATCGACGTGATCCTCCGCGCGCTGCAGTCGCTGCCGGCGCTGCGCCAGCTCGAGCTCTCGTGGTTTGGCGCGTCCATGCCGCTGCGGTTCCCGAGCGTCCTCTACGCGATGACGACGTCGCCGATCACCAAGGTCGACTTTCGCGACTGCCATGTCGAGTGGGACCAGGCCATGGTTGTGACGCTCTCCCATTGGCTCACGACCAAGCCGCTCGTATCGTTGGTCTTGCCCAAGACCAGCATGCACGTGGGCAGCTTGCCACTGCTGCGCGCCGCGCTGTGGGCCTCGCGCACGCTCCGTTCGCTGTACGTCTCGCAGGCCAACGTCGTGCTCGAGCTGCTCAGCGCGCTGTTCCAGCTGCCGCCGACATTGACGTCCTTGACGCTCAAGCCGTGCCGGTACGCCGACCTCCCGACGCTCCTAACCGCGCTTGACAAGAGCCACTTGACGACGCTTCAGCTGGGCTTTGCACCGGCGCCGCCCTTGACAACGACGCCGGCCATTGCGACGCTGCTCGAAGTGACGCTGCCGAGCATGACGCGCCTCACCAAGCTGCGCCTGGACCGCATCCCAATCTCGCCCGTCGGCAGCAACGCGCTGGCCGCGATCTTGCCGCGCCTTGTCGAGATTGTGCTGAAAGACAACGTCCTTCTCGACATGGGCGTGCTCGTGCTCGTGTCGGCGCTGCCGCGCTGCAAGAAGCTCCAGAAGCTGCGCCTCTCCAAGCAAAGCTGCACCGACACGTCGGCGATGGCCCTTGCGCGCCTGCTACCGCTCTGCCCCGAGCTCCGCGAACTCGACTTGTCGGAAAACTGCATCCAGTGCCCCGGCGCGATTGCCTTGAGCGCGGTGATCCCATGCCTCGACGACCTCTCTCTGAGCAGCAACGAGGTTGGGCCGGACGGCGCGGTCGCACTCGTGCAGGCCATGGCCCGACACGCGGGCACAGCGCTTATGACGTGGCTTCTCCTCGACTTCAACCCGCTCGGCGAAGAAGGCGTTCTATCGGTCGTCGACGTGGTCGCGGCGAGCGCTCACCGCTTTGGCCACATTGACCTCCGCTGCACGGTCGAAGACCCGATTGAGATCGTGAATTGCGAAGCGGCGATCGAGGCCATGCCGTATCACGAATGGTGCTGGTGGGACGCCTAATGACGCCGCTACATCCTCTAAATACAGATCACGACTCGATATGTCGTCGCCTGCAACCTGCAGGCGCCTCGCATGTCGCCGCCGCTTCGACACCCGTTGCCTTCGCGCTCGCCGCCACCCGCTTGCGCCCGTACTAGGCCTAACGATGATGAACGAACCACCCTTGCTCGTGTGCTGCTACATCGTATTGCAGAGGCACAGGTGGCGTGTTGATGGTGTGGGTGGGCTTGGCGTTTCGGGCGGGTTGAAAAAACCGCCCTAGAAAGGCCAGATTGCACTTGAGATTGCATCATGCCGGACGATGGAGGTCTCGCAGGCGACCTCGTCCAGCGCATCGCCGAGTGCCTCGAGACGTCGGCCGACATGCGCGCGTACGTGCTTGCAATGCCACTCGCCGCGCTCACGCCGCCGCTCGCAGCGCTGCGTCGGCTCTACGAGGCGCTGGATGCGCGCGAGTTCACGGTCCCAATTGACGACGCCTTTTACCCGCAGCGCATCTCGCTTTGGCCGCAGCTGCGTGTGCCGCGGTCGATCCCGCGCGCTTGGCTTCAAGATGCACTCACATCGGCGCTATCTCTCTACCCGTGGGTCGTTCAGGAGAGTGCCGACATCCCGCTTCCGTTCGCACTGCGCCCACAGACCAAAATCAAGCTGCGCACGTGTGTGACGCCCGCCCAGCTCGCGCGTCTCGACAACAGGCGCAACCTCTGCGCCCTGGACCTTCTCTTGGTCCAGACTACCGACCACGTATCGCTCGTTGAGCTTTTCCGCGACCTGCCGGCCGTCCAGTGTGTCTCGGTGCTCTGGCGACAAAAGCCAACGACCACCGTCGTAGCCGATGCGCTGGAAGCGATCGCCACGTCCACGTCCATTCAAACGCTGGTGTGGACCATGTCGCTCACGGCGGGTATGTGGGACGAGGCGTGCCGCGAACTCTGGGCCGGCTTCTTATCGTCGGCGCCGCTGAGTAGCGTGAGCTTACGCGGCTTGACTGCTGCGCCTATGGCCGCGACGGCTGCGACCGCGCTCGTTGCGAACACGACCCTCGCTAGCCTCGAGCTGCACGACGCCGGTGTCATCGCGGCGGTCTTTGCGCTCGCGTCGTCCGTACCGTCGCACTGGACGTCGTTGCGCCTGCACGGTGTGGCCACCGACGATCTGCCGCCAATCGCGTCGGCGGTGACAGCCGCAAGGATACGACACCTCTCGATCGATCTGCAGCCGGGCAACATCGCTGTTGACGAAGACGAGCGCCATGGGTCTGCTATCCTGGCAATGCTATCGTCTCTGCAGTGTCTGCAGTCGCTCGACCTGTCATCGATGCTGCTGCCAAGCGTTGAGGCAGTTCTCACCGTGCTGCCGCAGCTTGCGCACCTCGGCTTGTCCGAGAACGACCTCCATGACGACGGCGTCATGGCCCTCGCGACCGCCTTGCAGCGCTGTCGCCGCCTCCGCTCGTTGCGCCTGCGTCGGCAAGGCTGCTCGGATGCTGGCGCCATCGCGCTCGCGTCAGCCTTGTCGACGACACCGTCGCTTCGGACGCTCGATGTCTCAGGCAACTGCATTGGTTCCAAGGGCGGCGCCGTCCTCGCCGCTGAGATCCCGCGACTGCTCGAGGTGAACCTGAGCAACAACCAAATTGGCTATGAAGGCGCGTTGGCACTCAGCCGCATGGTGCCAAGAACTGGGCACATGGAAGGCATCAACCTTGAAGGCAACCCGCTCTATGTCGACGGCGTCTTGGCGATCGTCGAAGGGGTCGCGCGGTCGCCGTACCGCGTTGGGAGTGTGCAGCTCAGCCGGACGCTGGCCAATCCGTCGCACATTCAAGAGTGCTTGGATCGCATCGGAGAGCTCCCGGACCCCGCGTGGTGTATTTTTCTCGATACGTAAAATGAATACTAGTAGTTGTTTTTGGTCTTTTGTTTTGGCTGTGAGTTTTTGAATTTAGGTTGTATACGACGTCTTTGTGTAATAATGAAGATAACGCGGAACACGTTCATATATATGCACAGTCGCGTTGAATGATAATAGATGGTTAATTCAACCAAGCGCAAAAGACTTTCGCTCCGATGTCGTGGCGGCGTGGGTGTGAACCAAAGATTCATTACGTTTGATTCGTCAAAAGTCAATATAATAAGAGCCAATCAAAACGTCGCATACAGGCCGCGGAATCACGCAGTATCTCGGGTTGCAGGTCTCGGTCGAGGCAACGACGTACCGTTCCCTGCCCCCGCATCGCCCTCTGTCTCTAAACGACGTATGCGTGAAATCATGTTCAAACAGGATTTCAGGATCGCAGGGCTCTTGGCAACAGGCCGGCATGGGTCACCCTTGTATCTGTTAAAAAGCCGGGGTCAAAAGTCGGGGGGTCCTGCGGGATTTTGGGTGACCCCGCGGGTAAAAATGAGCCTCAGAAGGGGGTCGGGGGCCTCGCGAGCCGCACCTGCTGGCTCCGAGCAGCCTGGGTGACTGGGCGTCCTGCAAGCTGTAGCTTGCAATGCGCGATCAATTGACCACAAACTGACCTCGCGATCTGCTGACGTCGCGGAGTGCCACGTCATGATCGAGCTCGGACCAATCAATGGCCAATGGCTATCCGGATATTGCTAAAATCACGCCACCTAGCTAGCCATGGCAAAGCGAGCCAAGCCGACGCCAGCTCTGCTACCCGAGCTCTTTGAGCATGTCGGGCGGTTTATCATGACGTCGAACGAGATGGCGGCGTTCCTTCATGCGCTGCCAGTCGAATGGCTCTCGGAGCCGCTGGCCGCGCTGCTCGAGCTCTTCCACGCCGTGCGCTCGCGGCGGCTTGTGGTGCCCGTTGGCGACGTCTTCTACCCGTGCCACGTACGCCTCTGGCCTTACTTTGAGCTCCCGTACGAGGTTGCGGACCCGCAGCTGCGCGCCTGGATCGCAAAAGCGGCGATTCTAAGCCCGGTCGTCGACATCAATGGCTTTGATTTGCCGCCGGCGTACCCGCTGCAACCCCTCACACGCATCAACTTGCACGCTGTTTCGACGTGGGCGATGCTGGAGCGCGCGATTGCGCTCTGGCCCGAGCGCATCGAGTGCATTGAGATCTCGTTCGGCGACGACGTCGACCAAATGTGGCCATCGGCGTCCGTCGATGCGATGCCGAACGCGCTACGTGGCCTTCCGGCACTGCGCGAAGTCGCATTCACATCACAGAGCAACGTCATCAACCACGACCCACTGCCGCTCATCCAAGCCCTCGCGCCGACGCCCATCATCTGCGCCGAGTTCATCTACCCGCACGTCACGTGGTCCGCAGCCACAGTCACGGCAATGGCCAACTGGCTTCGCGCCGGGTCCCTAAAAGTGGTCGCACTTGAAGGTGCGTGCATGACGGACACGGAGTGCACCAAGCTGTGCGAGGCCATTGCCGACTCGCCGACGCTGCTTGACCTCGAGATCAAGGGCGGCGCGCTACCCTTTCGATTCTTCAAGGACATTCTGGCGCTGCCAAGCCAGCTGCACTCGCTCGTCCTCGAGCCGCTCGTGTACGACGACCTACCTGCGATCACGTCGGTGCTCTCGTCGTCGCAGCTGCAGCTGGTCACGCTTGTCTTTGAATCGGTGTCGCCCAACCCGGCTCCGAAGGCGACACTGGCCTTGATGAAAGCGCTACGTCGACTGCGCCGGCTCCGGCACCTCGAACTCACCATGATCCAGCTCTCGCCGGCGTGCGTGGGAAGCTTGGCGGCGCTGCTGCCGCAGCTGACCAACTTCTACTTGGAGGCGAGTGGCCTCGGTGACGAGGAGATTCAACTATTGGCAGCGGTCCTCCCACACTGCCCGTCGCTGGGGCATCTGCACTTGATCGACCAAGGCTGCACGTACGTCGGCGCCATGGCCCTTGCCGCGGTCATTCCCTTGTGCCCACTTCTGCGCAAAATCGACTTGCGCGGCAACCGTGTCGGGTCGATCGGCGCGCATGCGTTCAGCAGCGTCCTGTCGCATCTGCTCGAGTTGGACCTCTCGGAAAACAAAATTGGCTTTGACGGCGCGGTCGCTCTGAGCCGCGTCGTGCCTGCGACGTGCCACATGGAGATGCTCGGGCTCCAAGGCAACCCGCTCGAGAAGGAAGGCCTTTTGGCCATCATCCACGCGCTCCAGCATTGCGCGCACCGTGACGGCGTCATCAAGGTCTCCGACACCCTCGCTTTGGACGAAGACCGGCAAGCCTGTGACGAGGCCATCGACCGACTCCCAGACGCGGCGTGGGTCACGTTTCGCGAAGACGAGCCGTTTGAGGAATAAGGACAAAGATGCAAATTTTCTCTTTTCCTCTTGTACCTGGTAGGGGTAGGTTTGCGGCGACAAAGTTAAATGAACAACAACCTTATATCAGTCTTTTGTCTTCACATCGCGATTAATTCGGCGGCAGAGACAGTGTATTTAGCTTTCTATTGCCCAAAGGTACCCCGTACAAATGTGCGCGCGATGTAGTGCGGGCTCGATAACCCTAAATTTCGATACGCGGGAGTGCTCAAGGGCAAAACCCCAATTTGCCTCAAGTACCGCTCAGCCTCGGACGAGTGGCGGGTTGCTTTATCGTTGAATTAAGCGAGGGGAAATCTAAAGTGAATGCGGTTCGTTGCTCTCGGAAAGTTCGCCTTTGCCTCGTCGCCATAACGCAAGTGCGAGATTGAGAAGAGCGAGCTTCGTCTTGGCCAAGAAGCGAAGGCGACATTTTTGGAAATGAACTTGGACCGTCGGACTTTGACTTGCTAAAACGGGATCCGTGGTTCAACAACGAAGATGGCGCACTTGCTTGGCCGTGGACCCGGCGATAGCCGGTGTTCGCACGCTAGCTCGGTAGGGCAAACGCGAGCGTCAATGTCAATAACTTGCAAAGCTAAAAAACCTCGCGCTAAAAATGGTCGGATGGGAAATCCAAGTCTTTATCAACGGTCCGATCGTATGGGCTTATGTCCCCTCCTACTAGCATGGAAGCTCACAGGCGTTTACTCGTGAAAACGTGTGGTCCC